CTATAGGTATTAGTACTGACTAATTTAAAACTAAGTATTAGTCTATTGTATACTTAATAATACCCCCACCACACACACACACACACCATAAATAGTAATTTCTTCACGTGTTTCTTATTGTAGTACGATGCATAGAAAAAAGTGGTTCTGCAATCTTTACTACATTGATTGAAACAATTGAGATGACTGAAGCAAAAGGTCAATTTGGAGCTGGTCAAGCACAATAAATATTTGTATCTTGACTACAAGTCTATAATGTACTGTTTGCAGGATGTGGACTCGCCTTCAGGTTCACCAGTGCAAATCGATGAAGACCTGGATAGATTAGACCAAAGTGGACAACCACGCAAGACGACTTATTTGAAAATACTAGTTCAATGCATCCGGCAAGTCTAAGCTTCCCAGGTGAATCAACTGGAAAAGCAATGCATACGATCAGAAAGAGAATTCACAAAGTTGGTCTTTGCTAGACGAAAGATGGTGTGTTCCTCTAACCAATCGTCACGAAACAGCCTGTCTTCATCGGTGTCAAGAACATGTGGTTTAGTTAAGCAACGTATGGACGAATGTCTAGTACACAGACTACACTACAGCCAGATACAAGTCGTGTATAGATTTGGAAAGTGGCTTGGAACAGGTGCAATGGGGGCATAGTGGTGGTGGCATATATATCTAGACAGGAATCAGTATTGTTGGTCACAGCAAGTTTTATATACTAACATTGCGCTATGAGTGCCATACAACATAGGAATGTGGTTTTATAACCATTAGTATTTTCATTATTCTACTGGACGATTAGTTGCGTCCCCATCCTGATTGGCTGATTAGCATCTCCCTGGAAGAAAAGGATATCGATTGAGTGGATTTGAATCCGACTAAAGAACGCTTGGCAACACATTATCAGGAAGCAGCTCTGATGAAGGAGGGAGAAATATTACTCCAGTAGCTCGTTGATTTACATATACCTTACTAACAATCATTTTCTGACCACTTATTGGACTGCAAAGTCTGTAGTACCAAATTAATATTTGTGGATATGTATTCTTAACATTTGCATGTCAAAATACAAGAGTGGTGACTTGACACTTGCTTGGTAGAAAAATGAGCTCAAAGTTGCCATTTAAATTTCTTCTTGACAGTAGTTGTGCTTGACACTGCTAAAATATTGAAAACTTTAGTATCTGTTAATTTGTTTGACTAGTATATTTCATACAAATAGATAAAATCTTCACTATTTTTCCAAAATTGGCTACATCAAACAATTCGATTATCATAAGTTTGAAATTATTAGATACTGTTTAGAATTATAATCGTACATTTCAGTGATTGTACGGCCTTTTGATAAAAGTCAGTTTTGATTTACAGTCGACCTCTTAGAATTAAATATAAATTCATACAAGAATCCTATGATTTCATGTAAAACACTGAGAACGTAGTGTTTGATTTCTCGTTATAAAATGAACTTATTTAGTTAAAAATAACATTGCATTGTAACAGTTTAGCGTGAGCTCGAGAAATATGTGGTATTTGTTTAAGTACTAATATAATGTTTGTACAAGTGTGTAATGTGCAAACAATAAGAAACTCGAGTGTTAAACTTTGTTGGTAATGTGACTCGGAACACGAGCTTCACGTGCTAGTCGTAGATTAAAGTCAATGCAGGTTAAATTAAACGTGAGACTTAGTTACATGTGGCAGAATGGCTGTATCAATTTTAAACGTAACTGATCACGTACTTTCCTTGCAGATACTCCTACAAGACTTTCCAATTCAACAGAAGTTCAAAATGAGAGGTAAAGGTAGGGTTACTTCTAAAAACCCAGAAATGAATCCGGAGATGAAGATACGAGGAGTGCTCTTTGAAATCGTTGTCATCTCGTCTCTTTTCGCAGTATTTCTCTTGATAACTGGCGCCATAATGCTCATCTTAGTCTATGTAAAGGCAGTTCATTATATTTCACTGGTTCAAGCTAGCAATATACCCATGAATATTGTAGGATTCGTATTCATTGGTGTCGGCGTTTTGATTTTTCTCAGTCAATTGATCACCTACGCAGTGTTACGCATAGTGGCACAACGACACCGTCGAACCCAAGAGGGCCAAAACTTGTGTTTAAACGAAGAAAATTCAAGCAATTTCCAACAATCAACGAGCACTTTTCCTTCACAAACTGCCGAAATGCAACGTTTTAGTATGAAAGAACTGGAAACTAAAACAGAATCCTCTTGAAATAATACAGATTCACGGTGATAATTGTCACCTTCATTGTAAACAACCAACGCTGATAGTTTAGAATAATAAGTAAATTTGTTTCATTTTACACGCGTAATTAAAATATTGTGAAAATTTTTACTTTATGTAAAAGTGTTTTTTACAGATTTTGTTAACGTAATAAAAAAGGTGTTAAGTGAAGCATTGTTTCTAACATGTTGTTAGGACACAATATACAGGAAGTGTTATACCTTACAGCTTAATTAACAATATTGTGAATTAATGAAAACCGCATAATCAGTTATTAGAAGAACATGTGGTTGAAGTGCAAGTAGATAACGAGAGGAATGCAAAATTTACACAATTCAATTTCTTTTACAAGACATACCGCAAAAAATCTCAACAACATATTTAGTCGTTAGTGATGTCTTATCTTTGCGTGTATTTGGATTACATTTTGAAATATTTTCACTTCATTGTTATGTCGTTGCTGACACACTTCGACATTACACATAATGATGTAACATTTTCATTTTTAATTGCAGAAGTAACGAAAAAAACTTTTCAAAAAATCAAGTAAATGTAGGCATTTGAATCATCCCTAAATAATAGCACACACACATACAGGTACACAGTGTAGTAGAATGTTAACAGACAAAAATAGTATAAATCAAACTCGATTGTGATTGAATAGTTATATATTGCTACATGTTAATTCTTGCCTGTGCTATTATGTAGGGATAATGCAAGTACCATCCCTGCTATCTTGTTTGTATATTGTTTTTGAAGGATTTATATGGGCCATCCCTACATCTACTTCCTTTTTTGAAAAGTTTTCTTTACTTGTTTGCTTGTTTTTTAATGCAGTATTTCAGTAGACGTAGGAATGTTATTTTTATAATCAAGCTCTAAATACAATGACGTTCTAGCTGTAATATTTATTGTTTGTCTATTGTTGGCTGGTAATTCATGTTTCACCCTGTACTTAAGCCTTTTAAAGGAACATCAAATAATATAAAAAAGCCAACTTTAAGGAGTAATGATAACATTATTTACATTATAATTCTAATTTTTTAAATTACTACTAGTTATTAATAATATTTATAAAAGCGAATACTCCGTTTGAAACTATGTCACCTCGGTGAAATTGGTAGACATTGTTTTGGTTTTTGAGTTATCATGTAATAAAAAAAGCAGCAGCAGAAAGAAGAACAAGAAATTCAAACTTTTTGCTATGATATTTACAGATATTCCCAGAACTTGTGACTCAGTCATTACATATATATATATTGCTATAAAAAGAAACACTGTATTGTAAAGGTCTAATGACCTATTGAAGAGATATTTAAAACACCATTTCGATTGATAATCCGAGCCATCCCTACATGTAGGGATTACCGCCTGCTTGATATTTATTATTACTACTATTCTATCTAGTTATACAAGTAACGAAAGGAAATGGAAATAACATTTTGTGCGAAGTGCTCAGGGTGGTGCACAAACCTTTCCAAGAAGCTACTAGCACTGTTTTTTTTATATAATATCTCACTTATTTGTGAAGATATCTGGATACAAGTGAACAATCAGACGGGAAAAGATGATTTTGTGTTTAAAATTTAATTCTAATGAATTAAAGAGATCAACATTCGCGGGCGAAGGCAACATGACGAATTTTGACACCAGCAAAATAGTGAAAAACGTAGAAAAATCGAAGACTGTCGATGTCAATGTTTTTAGAAAAGTAACTTTGTACCAAATTTCATGTACATTGGTCGAAACAAGGATAAGTAATTGATCAAAACCACAAACATTATGGGTTTATTTATCCTTTTAACCCCCTAAAATGGGCATATTTCTCATTTGGTATATATATAAATATATGTATGTATGGGACCTGTAAAACAGTATTTTAGTACCAAATCCCATGTAAATTGGCCGAAATACGGCAGAGTAACTGTCGAAAAAACCTTTAAAATTATGCTTTTTGTAGCATCTTGACCCCCCCCCCCCTATAATTACTAAAAATGAACATTTCCACCATTTTTTTGTCCAATTGGTCAAAATATGGCTAAGTAGTTGAACAAAACCCAAAAAATATGCTATTTCTGGACTCTGCCCCCTCCCCTAAAAAAAAGACTCAAAATAGGCAAAACCAACTTTTTTATTTCAATGTGTCGGGCGCATAAAAATTTATATTTATGCCAATTTTCATCTTGATTGCTCTAAATATTACCGCACAGGACCCAAAAATATGCATTTTTGGGTCGCTTGACTTTTGACCCTTAAAACCCATAAAAAGGCCAAAATAATAAAAAGATGAAAAAGGCGACTGGCCCAATGTATAACCCTAACAAGTTTCGAGGCAATCAGTTAAGAAACGAATGAATAGTGGTTGGTTGAAAAGTATTTGGAAGAAGAAACAATAGAAAAGATATGTCTCACTGCAGAGACGTAATATATTGTTAAATGTTCATTTGAAAGTTATGGTTAGTTGCTGCTTTTTACAAAAAAAATATTATTAACAAGATTGTTAATTAGATTAAAGTACATTAGCTTGGATAGTGTGGTATTAAATAGAAGGTTGTAGAAATACAGATACAGTGAATGTAATGTATATCTTCAGAACATACTGCAGCGAATTCTAACGTGTTGTATGATGTATTTTCAGTCTGGGTGTTTATTATCCAGGTGGAAGGTTCGACATCACATGATCGCGTGGGTTAACGTCTGTATTTTTGTAACAATTTTTAGCAGTGTGGAACGCGAGTGAGACTAGAGTAAATGGTAACTGATTGTTGAAGTAGCAAGTCCGTTCGTCACTCAATAATTTAATCAACTTTGTTGCTGTCAGCCAGTTATTTGAGTGCTGAAATTTTGAGTTGGTAATTATAATGAAATGTGAAAGATACATATTCAATAACTAATTTAAACCTCTGTTTAAACATTGTTAATTTTTAAAATTAGGCCTACCTGTAGTTGCGTTTTTAACGAATAATCGAAAAAAATCCGCCCACAATAAAAATCGTTATAATAAAGTAAGGAATAAATAATGAACCAGTGGTGTAGCTACAAAAGATACCCCCCCCCCCACCACACACACGTAATTGTCAGGCCCGTTTGGTCCACTTCCCCTCACAATTGCGGGGCCATGCTTTCGCCACTGTAGTGAAATGTAAAGTAACATCTCTTGAAGAACCGAATACGTTATTAACGAACTATAACAAAATGTCTCTCGAAGAACATTACAATATACCAACTACAACGTAATATCTCTTCAGGAACAGAATGCACTACAGCTGTAGTATATTCAGGTGAACTGAAAATACGTTTGAGCTGTATTGGATAAGTCCGCCAAACATGAGATTCGAACAAGATATGGTTATTGCAGAACAATGTTGAATGTATACCGGCTGAGTTTAAGCTAAGAAATAACAAACACTGGATACAGTGGAAAGTATCTTTATTAGAACTTAATACAAAAAACACTGTGTGTACATTGAACAAAGATGCAGTACAAAAATGCCCTTAAACATCGAATATATAATGCAAAAATGCCAAAAGTACTCTTAAACAATGAAACTCCATATAATATAAAAATTAACCTTTAACAAAGAATACATAATTTAAAATGAAATCCTTTAACACAGATGCAAGTAACAGAAAACTAACAAATACTGCGAAACCTTATAATAAGTTATCATAGTTAGCCATACGAAAATGACAGAAACGTACTTCAATAACCAACTCAACTTAATGCCAAACATAGCAAAAAATTTATATACTGCATTCATGTTAAATAGAACCCTACAACACTGAAAATTAAGACAATACAATAAAAATATGTTAACATAAAATATTACAATATTTACAGGAAACCCTTTTAACATAGATATAATACATAGTTACAGGATATATTAGCACTAAAAAATATGGAAATACAAAAATGTACATAACTATATACGTACGTCAAGAAGGGTCAGTGCAACTTCTCGATGATGAGGCACCTCAGTGAGTAATTACCGTGACCTTTCTTGTGTTTGTGGAGCTCAGATTTAACATCTAGTATATGCTTCCCCAATCGGTTGATGGAGAAAGGTTGGTCTACTGACCATTTTGACTTGATGTTGAAGTCCCAGGACCAGGGGGAAAGTCCACACAATAGAAGTTTCTGCCAGATGGAGATTCCTTTCCTCTTCATTCATGATATAACTTTCTATAGCCTACTGGAGATGTTAACACGCCAAAAAAAAAAAATGGAACACCATTAGTTAGTTGTTAATCCAGATTGAAAATGTAAGGTCAATAGATTCCAATTGGTCAAAAGGCCAGCCAGGTATGTAGGTTGAATGGGTCCTTAACAGATAGTTACGACCATTACTCGTCCCTAAAGCTACCTTTCAAGGTCAAGTAATACCTTAGACTCTTCGTCAAGTAACACTTGTACAGTGTTCACAAGTGCACCATGTGAAATAAACCAGTAGAATGTGTATCTCCGCCAGTGTCCAAATGATTTGATTCACAAGTCACTTTTGGGTCTCTCCTTGACTAACATTCAACATATGCCACCACTATTGCTATTCCCATAAAGAGCAGCACATTATCGGAAAATATGGGTCCTACACGTGTATATTGATTTGTATTGGGTAAAATTAATCCTTTCTTTTAATCACGAGAAAGAACAACCTCTCCATTGTATTTCCTTGAGGGCTTCTCTCAGTTATAAGTTTTATACTAGCAATGATGAGATTTTTTCAAAGCTTCACCTCAAAAGTGTGGTACTTTTTGCTTTCCCGTAATATTACAAGGCAATATTATGGAGAAT